AAAGGACAACAGGGACGGAGAGTAAATGCATTGTGATAAGGATGTCCAAGCTGGTCCAGGAGCAGATTCTGGAGGGACCTAAGCCATAGAGAACATTCAGGGGAGGCACTAGGGGGCCCAGAGATGGGAGCTATCAAAGGAAACACTCATCCTTGGTCCACTCAAGTCCTAACTTTGGATTCCAATTGCCTAGATCCTAGGGTTGCAGGCAATTAAACTGGGCCGGAGATAGAAGGAAGAAGGAAGTGGGGTGCATGGATGGGAAGAAACTGGACTTGACTGAGACTGGCTTACAAGGAAGGCCCCGTCGGGACTTCCTTAGAAAGCGCTCTGAGGCTTGCTGCCAGGCTGCTGCTGCACATATCTGCTTTTCTTAGAGTGGAATCTGGACTGTGTCACAAAGACCACAGCTTGCTCTTGGGCTGAGGGGTGGGGGGACTGGCTGGAGTCTAAACAGAGTCAGGGAGGAAGCAGAGAGACTTCCCACGAAGCTCTCCCTGTGGTGGGGGAGGTGAACTGCTGAGGACAAACAGCTCAGGGCTGAATCTTCCCCACTCTCAAGAGTGGGCCTGCTGAAAGTGTGCATCAGTCGGGGTCTCCAGGGGTTCAAAGTGCAGAGGAAAACAGACTCAAATGGGAAAACATAGACTCAAATGGGCAAGAGGGATGCAAAAGCCAGAGTTGTTAAATACTCTGTTTGCTCCCCCATACCTGAAGGTACTGTTGTATCTCTCCCAGCCTCCAGCCAGCCTCTCTGGCATCTTGGTTCCTATGCATCCCCTGCGGGTGCTTTCCAGAAAGTTTCCACCCCTCCCTCTCAGGCATCTTCCCCTCTGGTAATAAAGAACACGGTGTCTCTCAAGGCTCACCGGATTTATGTGAGGTCTTGAACTTCCTGTTGAGTGTTCAGTGGAAGTGACCCATGGCCAGAGAGGCAAAGGGCCTGGGGTCTTGTCCCAGTTCTGGCCTTTGGACCCTGCTGAGGATGGGGACCATAATAGACTCTGTCTCAGATGGAGGTGGTGAGTATGCAGTGAAATCAGGTGGAAGCTAAAAGGCTGTGCCCAGGTAAGTCTGCTTGCTGTAGAAACAGAAACCTGTCAGGTTGGAGCCTCGCCCTACAGGTCAGTTCAGGGAGGCCAGCACACACTCCAGCCCAAGAACACAGCTGTCCCTGTGGGAAAGGTAAAGCTAGCAGCATTCTGTGTTATAGTCCCTACTGGAAACTACCGGCACTTTCAGTTAATGCACACACCGAGGCACACACATTCAATGGGGTACAGTGTAGCAATGAAAAGGGGCGAACTGAAGCTCCACACAAACACAATCTCACAAAGCTGAATAAAGAAGCAAGTCGTGGATATGTAACATTCACAACCAGGCAAAATTAAACTGTATCATTAGGGGATGTGCCTATCAGGGTAAATCCATAGAGAGAAGCCTATAAATTATTATTTCAGAAGTCAAAATAGCTGGTATCTTTTGAGGGGAAGGAAGGAAAAGGAGTTTGCTTTCTAGAAAGGGCATGGGGAGAGGGGTGCTGGGGAGTGGGCACCCTGCTTCTTGCCTTGAGAGGGGTTAGAGCGGTGTTCACTTCACCATCATTCTTTAAACTGTGCCTATGGTTAATGTAGTCTTGTGGTTGTATAATCTATGCTACTGCATTTTAAAAGATAAAGGCATCTGATAAAGCCACCCAAAATTAGAATAATAGGTGAGAGCTCCACCCCCTCAATTTTGTAAATCAGGAACTGTAGCCCAGAGAGGTTACAAGGCTTGCTCAAGGTCACACAGTGAGTCACCAGTGGAACCTGGATGACGTGAGGTCCAGCAGCTCCTGGCTCCGTGTTCCTTCACCACCTGCCATCTCTCTGAAGAAGCCTCTTTAGGGGAAGGTGATGGGGGTGGGGCGGGGCACAGCTTTGCTGCCTGGGAGTTCCATTGTTTTGTCAAAAAGAAAAAAGACAAGTTAGTGGGCTAATATACTAAAGAGCAGGTATAAACTCAGGATTGTAAACATTTTTCAAATGGAATTTTAAAAGATTTAAGCATGTCCCCCCTCCCCAAAGTTACATCATTACAATGATAAAATTACAAAAAAAATAAGTACCAGAAATCTCTGGCAATTCTGAAATCTAGAGTTCCATGACTGCTCTGCCTGATTTGCAGATGGAATGGGGTGAGACTGGCCTGAAGGGGCTGGGAGGGGGGAAAGGAAGGACAGGGAGCCAGGAAGTCTGCAATTTTATTGACTTATCCACCTGGCCTAGGTGAGACCCCTAGCCCTGGGACAGTCCCAAAAGGAACCTCTGCTATCTCTCTGAGAGCTTTTTTGTTTTGTTTAGAGGTCAATTACTTCCCATTTGGGGAACTCGTGAACATTAAGAGGTGACTGGAGTGACGGGCCTGAACGATGCAGATAAGAGGCTGATGGCTTACAGAGCCTGGTGAAAGCTGTGGTGGAGGAGACGCACACAAAAGGGGGCAGCTTTCAGTGCAGAGGGGAGATTACAGGACGGAAGATGGGCAGCCGGGCTTGGGGAGCGAGCGGGAGAGGGCGGGAATGCGTTTCAAAGTGATCCTGACAGGCAGATGGGGGGAGACGAGAGAGGAGAGTTCTCCTTTTGTTTTCTTTCCTTTTGTCCCGTGAATCTCAAACTTCCAAGCTCCCCTCAACAAAAATCCACATGGAGTGCACTTGTACAAGATTTTTTTATAGGTTCATTTATTTTGTTTTGTTCAGACTGTCAAATATAGATGCTACAATAATCCGGAGGGACAAACAGACAATGTCGCAGGTCAACAGAACATTTAAAGTGATCTCAGGTGGACATAAAAACAACACCCGCTCTAGCCTATAATGCCCCACCTTCAGCCAACTAAATACAACTTACAAATTCCCAAGAGCTAGCCTTGAATTGCATTCAGACCGCCTTAAAAGACCGCCTTAAAAGACAACTCTGGCTTCAGCATGTGCCCATTCACTTTGCTGCATCCCTGAGCCCCAGACCTTCCCAGGAACTCGGCCAGGCAATGGCGCCATTTGGCCCTTCATCACCAGGCTCAGTCCAGCCCCTCTGAGCGCCTTCTCCGAGCACCCCGCAAACACCAGATTTTCTTTCTTCCTAGAGAGCTCATTGTCTGCCTATTTGACAGGCAGCATATACCACCTTGTATTTTTAGATACCTTTCTCTTGTCAGTCTCTGGTATCCAATTAGATAATAAATTCCTTAAGGCGACAGCCAAATCTTATTTTCTCTTGTGTCCCTAGCGGAAATGTTCAGTGATGACTGAGTTACTGATGATGAGACTAAGCCTCTTTCTCCTTCGCTCGCAGCCTCGCTCAAAGCGGCGCATGTCAGGGGACTGCTCACTGGGTCCGAAGCCGGTGGGAGGGTGAAGGGAGTGCATGTATTAACGCTCTACTCTGTGCCAAGTCCTTTGCTAGATCCACACTGTGATGGCCTGCATTTCCACGGTCAGGCCCTTACCCAAAGGACAGCAACAAAGGGCTTGAAACTTAATGTACAGTATTTTAGATTCTTGGGAGAATGTCATGCAAGTCAATAAGTGAAAGGAGAGAAAGCAAAAGGAGAAAAAAAATGTAAGGAAATGGTAGTAAAGGAAAAATATAAACAATTACTCGCATTCCTAGGTTAAACATATAAACTTTAAGAGATGGAAGCTGTGTAAAAAAGGCACCGTCGACAAGGGACCAAGCAGTCTCCCTCACCCCCCATGTCGGGAAGAACAACCAGGGCACATTCGAAAATTCGGAGGTGCTAGGCCACTGCATTTCAATTAAACATTAGAATTTATTAAATATACAACTTAACTTTTGACAAGGTAGTGGTCCAGGGGGTGAAGAACCAGAGTTTTCATTGACAAAATATGTTATTTTAGAAATCCTGATTATTCTACTAGCGCCTGCTGAAGACAAACGTTCCTGTCAATAAAATGAGTTTCTTTTCAGTCTTCAGTCTGCATGACTCCAGACGTATTTGGGTCTGAGAGTCCTAATTTCCCCCACTGTTCAGGCTCCATACCCCTCCCGTTAGGACTCAAGGCCAAGTGGAGGCCTCCTTTCCAGATTGGAACTTAGAAACCTGCTGTGCTCCGAGAGAGAACCGCAGAAGAAGAGGGAGGGAGGACATCAGGGACCTCCACTCCGCGGCCAAACCCGGCAGGTCTCCCTAGGGAGTCTGTGTGTACTGAGGGCTCAGGACTTCCGGGCCTCGTTTTTTACTTAAATTCAAAGTTGTTCCGAGGTAACCGACAGGTGGGTAAATTCTAATAGACTACACACATGCGAACACAAACATGTTATGTTTCGTATAGAAACATGTTATGTTTCCCTAAGATTCTGACCTGTGATCAAATGCACCGACATGGAGGGAAGAACCGGAGGGTACTTCGTGGAGAGCAAGTGTGACCCCAGAAAAGAGCGCTCCACTGGCTAATCTGGAGTCTCCAGGGGTCGCAGACGGGAGGGGGGGTCAAACCCCTGGGTCCTCCTTTTCCTGGCTGGCTCTTCATCCCCCTCCCCTCACCCGACCCTTTTTTCTCATCCTTCCCCCACCTGTTGCCCTTAATTGGAGGATCGAGGCTTTCTAGCGCACCCGTCCTTCATAGTCTCCTCTAAATGCCCAGGGCTGTAGCACCCAAATTAAAGAACGTCCCAGTCCCGTAGGTTTGACACCCGAAGTCACCTGCCTTAGCATTGCCCTGCCACCCTCGCCTTTGCTCCTCCCTCCAGCGCAGCTTGGAGGGCGGCTGGCGAAGGCCCCGTGTTCTGTCTCTGAGAGGAAGAAGGTTCCTAGGCCTTCAGCCGGAAGGCTCGTAGGGGGCGATTCACAGTCCCAGGAGTCGCTCAAGGGAGAAGTGCCATTGGGTCGCCTCTTCCCCCCAATGCGGCATCCCATCTTCTCTGCCTCTCCCGGTTGGCGGAAAGCTGGGTCGGAGCACCTGGCTTTGGTGGGTGTGTCTGAGCCAGGGTGCCTCACCAGGCCGGGACACCCTGCAGTGTGGCGGGCAAATGGCCCTGCGGACTGACGCTCGGGCCATCCCCTCCGAGGCCCGTGCTGCTCAGGGGCGCAGGTGGTGCGGGGCCGGCTGGTGCCCCCGCGTAGCCTCCACTATAGCTAGCGACGTAGGGAGGTCCCGCATAGCCGCCGTAACAAGAATAGGGCGTCGCAGCCGCGCCGTAGGGACCCGGGAAGGCCGGCGCGCCAGGACCCACGCAGGGCTTGCCGTCCCGCACCAGCACTGGCACAGCCACCCGGCGCGGTGCCAGGGGGTGGCCCGCCAGTTCTAGGGACTTGTCCTGGCGCTGTCTCTTGCACTTGTAGCGCCGGTTCTGGAACCAGATCTTGACTTGCGTAGACGTGAGCTGCAGCGCGCTGGCCAAGTGCTCGCGCTCTGGCGCGGACAGGTACCGCTGCTGCTTGAAGCGCCGTTCCAGCGCCAGCACCTGCGCCTGCGAGAAGAGCACGCGCGGCCTCCGAGGCTGCCGCGCCTTGGGCTGCTCCGCGCGCATCGCGTCGCCGTTGCTGCTGGCGCAGGGCTCCGGCACCCGGGCCTCGCAGCGGAGGGGAGAGGCTGCGCGGAGACGCGGCTCTAAACGCACAGGAGAGAACAGAACACCATCAGCATCCAACCCACGGCCCACACGAGCAATTCTTTCATGGCTTTCAAGGGACGCCCTCTCCCTGGGTAGCCTTTACTTTGAGCCCCCTTTCTCCTTTCTGCTGACAGCACACTCCTGTCCTGGGCCGGCCTGGAGGTTCCTTTCAGTCAGCTCAGTTGCTTTGTACCTGCTGGAACCTACGGAAACTGTGACATTCTGTGGTCCCCGGTGCACAGTGTACAGCCATTTCAAAAAATGCAGACTCTTGATCAACTGTCTAAGACATTTTCATTTTCCTCTTAGAATGTGTGTGTGTGTGTGTGTGTGTGTGTGTGTGTGTGTGTGTGTGGTGGGGTGGGAGCGGTTTGCTGTGATTTCTATTCTAAAGTGTTGTTGAGTTTGAGGAAGCTTTTGCTGCAAGGATCAAGAATAAGTAGAGGGCCTACCCAGATGAGGGCTGACTTTGGACTGCCCTTGGTGGAAGGAGAGAGGAGGGGGATGGGAAGGACGACAGAGAGAGGGTGAGAAAGAGACTCCGTGACTCACTTGCCTTGCTGGAGGTTCCTGTCCACCTGATTATCTACCCTCCGTGGTCATGCACAAGTTGTGAGATAACTGCCCCAAGCTGGGGGTCTCTAGTGTCTGCTGCCTTCACCCTACCTTGGCCTGAACCCTTGTCTTTTTGGTCATCAAGTGCTCCACTGGCACCAGGGACGGACCCCATATTTTTTGGACGCAAGATTCTGTAATCCAAATTAACAAAATAAAATTAAGCAACATTTTTTGATTTCCAACTCTTGGCTGAAAAACTGAGGTTCTCTTGGAGGTATAGGTAGAGTTGAGATCCACATCTGGGCTTTTTTTTTTTTTTGTAATTGGCCTCTTTCTCCTTTGGGGTCTCTGTGGCCAGCGGGCACGTTGTTTGGCTCCGCCGAGTTTCTCTTCCCCAAAGGCGGGACCCTCGCTGCACACACCCAGTCGGCTCCAACTGAGTGGGTTGAAACAAGGCTAAAGATCGCCGATGCAAGATGCTGTGCTTGGAGCCCACCAAGATGCAACCTTCTGCCCTTTTCCTCGCCTCCCTGCTGTCTCGACTTAAGCTCTGTTTTTACCAAAGTGTGAGTGGAGAGGAAACGCAGAGTTTTCATGGAAGCTCAGCTCATGCCAGGAGCAGGAGCGAACAAGGCAGGGAGGGATGCAAGCTCGTGGCACAGAGGAGCAGAAGGTGCCTGGTTAGAGTTGGTGTGGGCTGGAACCCGACTCCAAATCGCCAACCGCTCCAGCACAATCTCCTGGGGGATGGGCTGCTTGGCATTTAAAGTTTGAAGGAGTAAAAACTGCCTTCCTTCAGAGAAGCTTGTGCTCAGCAAACTGAGGATATCTCTCCTCGCAAAGAGGAAAACTAGTGAGGAGGATTTGCTTTCGTAGAAAATCAAAAAGTAACAACTGACTTTCAGCGACTCTGAGAAACAAGCAGGACCCCATTGGAAAGTCACTGACCTCAAAGGCTGAAGGGCTTCAGGGGCCCCCACGAGTGTCAGCACCCGGTGTCCTTCTGGTCACAATTCGGAACCTCTGTGTCCCTGAAAGCAAGGTGGTCTGCTGGGGGCCAATGGGGCATGCCGACGTAACCCAGGAAGGTCCTTTCTCTGAACCATCACTGCCGTGGGCTTAGTTCCGGGGGCTAGGCTCGGACCCTTCTTCACTGGCAGCAGAACAGGAAGGCGCTGAGGGTGCCTTCTGCTGTGAGGGGATAGCCGTGGTCCGAGGAGTGTGACCCTTTCTCTCCAGAGCCAAAGTGAAGCCCAGTTGCCTGAGCAGCGTGAGGGAATTCAGAGTTTAGGATCTGCTGCAGAAAACCCACAGGCTTCTTTGCCAACAGAGTGAAGTTTAATGTTCTCCAGGCTCTGGAGTCGGTGAATAATAAGCCTGCAAATCAACGAATTACTTCAAAATAGTCTCTTTATTTGGTCAGTTTGTGCCTTGAACGGAGGGGCCATGCTACTATCTGGCAGAGGAGGCCCGACCTGCCAGGTGCCTCTCGAGTGGCTGTGGACTTGCATGGAGGCTGTGCACCCAGGCACAGATGTTGGCCGAGAGGAAGAGTGGCTGTCTCATCCCCTTGGAAGGTCAAGCCTCTCCAGCACAAGCCTCCTGGTGCTGGGGCCAATGTGACACAACTCCCTACCACCCAATCCCTGTCTGCTGCTAGACGCAGGGACCGGGCCTTGCTGCCCCAGCACGGGTTGGGCCTTCAGAGACCAGGCGCCAAAACTGCTCGGGGACTCCACAGCGTTGGCTTCTCCAAGCAGCTCAAACTGTGCTACCTATACTGTGCTCCCAGACTCGGAGAGCTCACCACCGCAGAGCATCCTCGCCCAGGTACTCAGACCTCACCTGGTTTGGTCAACACCTCTCACTTTTGAGACAAGTAACCAGGCAAAGGATTGACTTGGTTGGCCAGGCCGCTTAGCACGCCCCAGAGAGGCCAGCCTGAGACTGACCCCAGGGCTGTCGGGGTTGCCTTTCCCCAAGTGTCCAGCTGTTCTGATGTGGCTACACCTTTGGCAGATGGGTTAGTGCAGAGAGCCGCAGGGTGGCAGGGAACATGGGCAGTGAGGAGCACAGCTAAGGTGGTGTAGCTGGTCTTTATATAAGAAAGAGAAGCTGTAGTTCCTGGAATTGTGGCTGTGAGCAGGATGATGTGTTTGTGGGAATATGAGGAAATGTTGTGGAAATAGTACAATAGTATACCCCTAAGATTCAGGACCTTATTTTCCTTATGGGAGGTGAAGCACACTGGGGGGTTGGTGGGGGTGGCAGAGGGGTCTCAGACCCTGCATTTTGGACCCCTCAGATGAAGGGAAATTCGGGCTAGGCCCTCAGAACTGAGGAGACCAGGAGATGCTGTCCTCCCACGCGCCACTTGGTAATGACCCATCCCTACTCTCATGATCTCCTGTCTGTGTCAAGATCTGAGCGTGTACTTACCCACCCGTTCCGCGTCCATCTCTGTGACCAGCTCATTGGCATCCCCAGGGGGCTCTGACCCATCTTGCTTTCTGTCGACTCCATCACAGCTACCGGTGTTGGGTACCTCTGACTCTCGAGGTTCTGGGACCAGTCGCAGATACTGAGAGCCTTCGGGGCTCCTCCGTGCCCCCTGGAGTTGCAAGGCCTCGAGGCCAATCTGCTCGCGCTCCAGTCTCAGGATGTCATTGACCGAGAATGGGGTGGAGGTGGCGGGGTTCTGCAGCATCCCGAAGGCGGAAGGAGCGGGGCTGGAGCGTCCCCAGTCTCCGCAGAACGCAGCGTCCTGACCCTTCTGTCTGGTCGCTGCTGGCACCTCAGAGCCAAAGTCTGGGGCAGATGCCTAGCGTCCCCGGACTGCGCCTTCCTCTGAGACACCCTTAGGGGAAGGGTGACCAGGGCTGAGTGAGGAGACTGCCGAATCTCATTGGTTCCTGCAGAAACCACGTGCTAATCCAGCAGCACCTTCCTCCCCAAGCGCTTTCCTCCCACGCTCTTCTAATTCCACTGCAGCCCCAACCACTTTCTGGGAAGGTTTGGTTAGTATCGACTGTTCTCAGAAGCGAGGGGAAAACGGAGGAGATAGTGCTGCGCAAAGCTTGTATCTCAGTGAATACGGTACCAGCGTGAGCTTCCGAGGTCAACCCCAGGTCCGCGGGGACTTTCCTATAGGATGTGCGGGGATGGGGGACGGAGCCCTTGCTTTGCAACCCGAGCCAGTTCTTCCGGCCTAGCGGTAGCTTAATTCTCCATTCCTGTTGCAGAAGAACTCAGGTGGAGATCGCGGGGTACCCGCGGGATGGAGGTACCAGGCAGGAGTCTTTGTGGGCGCTAGGCGGGGGCAGGCGGCGGTAAGCCCCTTCTAGGGAGCAGAGGTTGGATTGCGGAGGAGCGAGTCTTGACCTGCTTTGACCTGCACGGAGGTTGGAAATGTTTCACTTAGAGCTTGGACCCGACACTTCACAGGTGGAACGTGTCAACCCGGGAGAAAAGAAAAAGCAAAGGAGCTGTACTGGGGGATCCCCCAGGCTCTCAGCAGGCTCCTTCAGTGGGCGGAGAGGAAGAAAGGTAAAAGCCCCATCTGCGCGCAGGTGCTAGACAAGGGCTCACCTAGCCCCTCCCACCCCCGCCGGCCACCCCCCCCCCACCTTTATTCCCCCTGAAGTTGATTGCCTTGTGCGTGCGCGAGTGTAAATATGAACGCAACACTTTTCAAGGGTCGAGGAGTTTTGATGGACATTAACTCCTTATAAAAAAGCTTCTGAGGAAGGGAGCAGTGTGGTAGAATGGTTATCAGAGCCAGGTGGCGTCAACAAGTCTAGCCTTGCTCTGGGTTGCATGAGTTGTGGTTTTTGCGCAAAGTGTTCATCTCTCTAACCTTTAACTGAATCGAAACTGGAGATAACAATGTGCCCATCAGGGGACGGTTGTGAGAATTAATTGACATAAAGGGTATGAAACTGTGAACCAGTGTCCACTGTTGTAATTTCTCGTGCCACATGGTTCAGTTAAGACAACGTGAATGCGTCAGTAGTCTCAGCACAGTCTAAGGAGTTTAAAAATATTTTATTTTTTAAAAGAATTTATTTATTTATTTTTAGAGAGAGGGGAAGAGAGGAGGAAAGAGAGGGAGAGAACCATCTATGTACAAGAGATACAGCAATCCATTGCTTCTCACACACCCCCTACTGGGGACCTGGCCTGCAACCCAAGCATGTGCCCTGACTGGGAATTGAACCAGGAACCTTTTGGTTCACAGGCCAGCGCTCAATCCACTGAGTCACACCAGCCAGGGCAGGAGTTTTAAAATATTTTAAAATCAAAATGAGGTCTCACTAGAGTTCTTTTGGGGATTTTAGATCAAATGTTTCCTAAATAAATCTTTTAAGCCAAATGCACTGTTACGAGGACTGCCTGGGCATTATTATTCACTGATATCTAGGTAAACTGGGCTTATCTGCCTGGAATAGTGGGTGCAAAAATTCTTGAAAAAATTCTCAGAAAAACTCATGTAAAAGTTTGGCAAATTGGATGGTTTATTCAAGTAATGATTGCTTATACATCATATCATTTGATTTTTATATCATAGCTATACCCCTGGGTTTCCAGCAACCCCTCCTCCCAGCGAGGAATCAGGGTCAGAGAGGTTAAGCGAACTTCTGGAGGTGCTCCAGCTCACCAATGTCAGGGTGCCACGGACTCCGGCTTTGCCAAGACAGTATCCGCCTCCTTTTTTTGGAAAGAGACATCACTTTGTCTTCAGAGATGTTGAGATCTTACAATGACCCATATATTTACTTACATTTAATTTTTTTCCTGATTGTAAAAGTCATGTACACTTTGAAAAAATGAACATAAGGAAAAATTGAAAAGAAATGATCCATCCAGGGATGACATTCTAGTGCATTTCCTTCTCCATATTTTGCACATATGGGTATATGTGAAGCTGTAAATTTTAAGTTTATATCATAAGCTCACCCGGCACCTTATTAGAGCTCTTAAAGATATATTTTTAAATGAAAGAGCTTATATTATGGATAGACCATAATAGACTGTGTTTATGCTTTTAGATTATACCCATTTTTTTTTCTGACACTGTAAGGATCAGGGAACGCCTTTGTGACTTCATCTTTGTTAACAGTTTGGATTATTTCCTTGGGATAAATATGTAAAATAAACATCAATTAATCAAATGTTTTAATACTCATAAAACATCCCCAGACTTCCTAGAAAGATAGTACACTCCAATCATACCTCCTCCTGGCCAAGGTGTGGGTGAAGGACAGGTAGGGGCTATTTAAAACCACCACCCCACAGGGACTGAAAGCGAAGTTAGGGTATTTCGATGCAGAGGACGCCAGTAGGCGCTCACCCTTTCCACACCAGTAGCTCGGCTGGGCCCTCACTTTCCAAGCTAGGGCCGCGGGCGGACCCAGATAGAAACAGTAAACTGTGAACACACCAGTGCCTCTTTCTATGGTGGTATTCTTGCAGCAGACTGTTGCGCTCTATGAAGTCATAGAAGGAAGGACATCTCGGAAGAGACGGCATCAGGAGCCCTAAGTTCAAATCCAGCTCTCGTGTCCCCGGCCTTGCCTTTCTTTTCTGCTTTGCTGCAAGGGTCAGATGAGATTTTGGATGTGAAAACTTTCTAACTCTTCCCAAGCGGTGCAAACGGGAATCTTCATTAGGAAATGGGCGGCCTCGGCTCAGACGCCGGTACGCAGGGACACACCTGGAGAGAGGCATTGAATTTCCCTAGGCCAACATTGCAGGAAGGGAGGCTGTGCAGACAGGCAACGCTGCGCTGGGGTTTCTGCTCCCAGCGCTTTCTCCCCTGGGCAGGACTGGCCCTCCTGGAGTCACCTACCGTGGCTGGCAGGTCCTGGCAAACCGGCCAGGCCCTGGTGTCACCCCATTCTCACCCCCACCTCCCTTTTCCTTCCTTTCCAGCTCAAGGGCACCCTGAGAGTCGCCCCCAGGAGAATGGAACCAATGACGCTGATCCCGCTCCTTCCAAGGCACTGCAGCCACTTTAGGGACTGCCCTGTCTCATTAGAGATTGCCCTGCCTGCCAGCGAGGTATATGCTAATGACTTGCTAACTTGCCAAGCCTGAGTGTCTGGGAGAAGCAAGGAAGCAGCTAGGCCAGCCATCCAAGCAGAAAAACAGTCATGATTTCTAGTTTACCAATGAGGAAACCAAGACAAAGAAAAGGTAAGGAACCTGTTTTGGGTCACATATGTCTCCTTGTGCTCAGTACACTGTCCTTTCCATTAGAACACACTAATATGCCTGAGATGAGTGTCATTGCTTGCTGATCATCATTCATTATGTTTCTCGTAGGCAGGACGCTGAGCTGAGCGGCTCAGACTGTGTGTTGTCAGGTGGTGTGTGTGTGTGTGTGTGTGTGTGTGTGTGTGTGTGTGTGAGAGAGAGAGAGAGAGAGAGAGAGAGAGAGAGAGAGAGATGTTCATTTCTTGCTCACCAGTGGAGACATCATCATCTCTGTTCTTGAAACGAGATGGAGCGGCCCTGCTGGGGTGAGTGGATCTGACTCACTCTACTCAGGTCACACGATGAAACGCTTACACCAGTACTAGGTCCACAAATGGTGTTTTCAGGGCCTATGTGGGCCAGTTCTGACCACACTCTAAGTACCAGGAAATGAGGGGTCTCAGCCCTTTTATCTTTTCCCATCCTTGCACAGGAGACAAGTTTTAAATTACTTCCATCCAGTGTGATACTTTACACAATCGTATGGAATTTGTGTACAATATTTTTGAAATTTCCCATCCATAGTTGACAAAACTTCTCCCTCCTGCTCATTGCTTTCAGACTTTCCTAAAACTTAAGGATTCCCCCTTTAAAATTCAATACACATCCACAGCTTGGGCCCTGGGGGCTTGCAGGAACCAACCGTCTCTGATGTGTGTAACCTGAGCACAGTGTCCCATTAGACTAGACTAGGACTCTGAGTCTGTTGTCACAGCTGTGTCCCAAGGGTCTAGGCTAGTAACCAGCACCTAGTAGGTCTCCAGTAGGGATTTGTTGGATAAAGGAATATGCCTAGTTTGGCTGGGGACAGTCCCTAGATACCCTGGGGACTGGTCCAGAGGTGCCTGGCCCACCTGGGACTAGCAGACTGTGTCACTCCACCATGGCACTTTCTGCTTTCCCACGGTCTCTTGCTGGCACCCACATAAAAACATCATTATGACTTGTTTATGATTTGAATATGTAAAACTAACATAATTCTAGAGTACAATTTTTGCAAAAAGATAAACTCAGAGAAGCAGCTACTGTACCTTCATCCTTTTTGCTCCTGTTCTTTCCATTAACCTTCTTTCCTGCTCCCTACAGACTCCCAATCTTATTCTTTTATCTTTTCTGTGCCTTTTGTACAAATGAGCCAATGCATGTCTATTTTACTATTTTCCCTTCTTCCTTATATGACAAGGTAGGATAAAATGGGAATTCTTTCTTACTGCTCTAAAGCTGTGACACTTACTAAGAGTTGTATGTTGATAATTAGGCTTCTGATTGCCACTGGACCAGGATGTCACAGCTGCCAGAATGTCTATGTGCTCTCCACTCCTCTGCCCTTGGCTTAGAATAAGCTATTTCATGTCTGTGCAAACCTGGAGCACCGGGAATCTCTCACTCTCTGTGACTTGGCACAGATTTTCATCACCTTATTTCCACAGAGTGCATGACTAGAATTTTAAA